CTTGAGTAGGCAGTCACCTAGCACAACTTCAGCAACCCATCAGATTTATAAGGTGCATCCTAAGAGGCATTCTTCGAAATAAACTATTTTTAAATAAGGCTTTAATGTAAAAAAGAAAAGATCAAGTGGGGAACAGGTGGCAGATAAGCACCAGAATGAATGTCCACAAACACAGGGGCACTCCTTACAGACACTACATTAACCCACACTTGTTATCTAGGGACTGAGCTGTGAATTCAGATTTTACTTAAAATACAGTATATAGGAGTAACTGTGTTATACATTACTTCAAGGTGTTGAATGTGGAACAGTTTAAAAATGGCAAAGTGCTAAATAATTGATAATATACATTTATATTTTTAAGCCTTTATCCATAATTTTCCTCTGCGTTCAAATCAGTGGTGGGATTCAAAAACTTTTACTACCGGTTCTGTGGGCGTGGCTTGGTGGGTGTGGCCATGTGACTGGGTGGACGTGGCTTTTTTTGCAGCTCCCACCCATTTTTGGGGACCTTTCTAGCCTCAAAGGAGCCTCTCGGGGGGCATTTTTGCTCCCCTAAGGCTCCTCTAAGGCTCAGGAAGAAAAGGAACAGAGCATGGGAGGGGCGCGCAGCACCCCTCCAAGCTCCATTTTGGAAGCTTCCTAGCCTCAGAGGAGCCTCTCGGGGGGGGGGGCATTTTTGCTCCCCTAAGGCTCCTCTGGGGCTCTGGAAGGCAAAAAATGGAGGGGGAGGCTGAGCTCCTCCCTCCATTTTTTGCCTTCCTGGGCCTTAGCAAGGGGAATCCCGGCACAGCTGATCGTATCTACAGCTGATTGTCAGGAGGGGGGGGGGGGAAAGATGGAGAAGATAGCAAAGAACTTTCCCAAAAGTTGTTGTTCTGTCAAAATCATTACAATTGCATGGGATTAAAATAATCTAGAAAATATAAGAGGCCCCAGCATAATAGTATTCTGCATCACTTTTGCTTTAGCTTAAGTCTGTGTTCAAGACTCAACCACCAAAAAATGTTGGGTAAAAATGGGATTCAAGGAAAGTTTAAAAGGCACAATATGGTAGGAGATGACCAGATTGAACCCGAGGGAGAGGGGTTAAACGTATCATAAGTCAGGAGTCCCTTCGTGCCCACAAGAAATCCAAGTCCAGTCCACCTTGAATTCTTTAAATTAAGGTCAAGCGCTCAGGAAATCAGGAGATTCAGGCAGTTCAAATGAGTATAAAGATTTATTGCAAGCTTAAGTTGTGTACAAGAATCTGGCCAAGTGACCATTAAGGGAAATGCATGGGAGTTAAGAATAGAAAGGAATTCCAGGTGGGCTGGACTTAGAACTCTTGCAGGTGTGAAGGGATTCCTGATTTAAGATGCTTATGACCCTTCCCTCAGGCTCAGCCCAGTTAGCTCCCACAGAAACCATTGTTCATTAAAATATTGTTCATCTCAGGTTTGCCCCAAAGCTCCTGGATGTCTTTCAGAGCAACATATATAAACTGATGAAACGAGAGTGGAACTTTGTGGGGTGGATAGGTATCATTGTGTTTCATAGAAAGCAGACAGTCAAAATTTCATGCCAGCTTTCAAGCAGTTCCATGGTTTGGGCACACTCTGCTGATACAACCATGAAATCTATTTTCTGTCAGGAAGTTCTATAGGAAGGTATCAAACCATGTGTCACCACAACTACTGTGGTGTCATGGTGGTTTGAAGGCAGTATTCCAGGCTAATTCTGCTGGCTGCCAGCAGTTTGGCAGTTTGAGTCTAACCAGTTCAAGGTTGACTCAGCCTTCCATCCTTACGAGGTCTGTAAAATGAGAACCCAGATTGTTGGGGGCAAGTCGGGAATAACTACCTTTTCAAACTGGCACATCACTTTGTTTCTGAAATAAATGGAAAAAGTACCAAACTTTGATCACTTAGATTATGTTGTGGCCTGCCTGTGGCCAGCAGAGCTGGCAGCAGACTCAAACAGTGAGGAGGTTGGGGAGGAATATGGGCCAGTCAGTCTGGGGAAGGCTCTGATGAGTGCTCGGCGTTGGAGGCAGAGATGGGGCCAGGGCCATCCATCAGTTATCAGCTGCCTTTGGAGTTGGAGATCAGTGGGGCAGAAGAACAGCTAGAGACTGTTTCCGATGTATGCATGTACAGAGCTATCAGGAGAAGGGTGGAACAAGAGTTGAATTAAGGAACAAGGGTTGACTCTGGGAGTAAAGGCACAGGTGAATGGCTCCTCCCATTGGGAATAAATAGGAGCAAAAGTGGAGTGGTGTTTGCAGGAGACAATTAGTTCGTTTAATTAGTGTGAATATCTGCTTATCTAAGTTAGTGACTCCCCAAAACACCTTGCCAAGTATTTCCTTGTACAAGTGTTGTGCCTGGCAACTCTCCAAGCTGCTAAAGTCTGTCTCTGCAAATCACCCTTGAAAGTCTGTTTACCGGGACTTTGGATACGAATGATAGAAATTATTAGCCAAATAAAAAGGGGTTTTGTCAGACAAGGAGTCTGTTTTGGGATTTTGTGAAGCCTAGGTCAGAACAGATTCCTTTTATAAAATAGTAGCACCCGTATGAAAATTAAAAATACTTTCTCAGGGAAAATATATATGCCAGTGGTTTGCCAGCAAGGTTGCAGTTAAATAAATCCCTTTCCAAATTTTGTATATGATGCTTATTTTTATCAAAGAAGAGAAGCTTTAATCTATTCTAGAAGCTTGAATTTCCTGCTTTTTGTGTTTTATAATTTCTGAAAACTTAAAACTCCAAAGATGTAAGCATAAAGGAAAGATTTTTTGTTAAAAAGAACTATGAGGTTAATGCATTAGAGTCTCTTTAATTTTTCCCACTATTTAATAAATACCCTGCTTGTGATTTTTTTTCTTGCTGTTTCCAACATAATGTGAAATATTGTGAAGAAACTGCTGATAATTTCTTAATGAAATTAGGTGCTTCTATAAATTACATTTAATTGAAATTGTGAAAATATAGCTTTCACGAACCCGATGAACAGATTGCTTGAGTCCCATCTTTTTTTAACTAAGCTGAGGATTCAAACTTCATAATCTCATATGAAACTTTTAGTATTGGGCTTAAGTTATGTTATTAAATCCTTGGGACTAAGTGAGAAAGCATACCTGAAGCTTGTCAACAGCCTCCAGTTTAAATAATCCAAATTCATATCAGCGCTATTGCAATAAAATATATTTACAAATTAATCCCGTTGCTCTATTAATTATTAGTGTAATTACTGCAATTCTTCCCACCTTGTTTTCAGTATTTCTTAATCATTAAGCCGGAAGCCTGACAGCAGTGCCAGCCCTGGCATGATTCTTTTTGACTAAAACCTTGTAAATTAACACAATTAGCACAGCATCATGCTGCTAATTAACTTCCTGTGTCTGGTACAGCGGATGTGCAAACAAGGAATAGGGATTCAGCAGGGAATAAACATGCCACTCTGTTGCCAAACTGTATGTTGTGTTCGGTCTAACTCAGCAGGGCTAAGATAGTCATGCCAAGATGCTGGAGTCAAGCAAAGAAGAGCTAAAGGAAGAAAAAGAAGAAGAGGCCCAAAATAGAAAGAAGAGTACAGGCTGTTAAATGCAAGATAGTAGTAAGTTATCAGAGAAACTCTACCATCCATGTTCGATGTATAGCAAACCTTTTTTTAATCTGAGCATCTGCTCTAAATAATATGAGATAGGGGAAGGAAGGAAGGAGTGAGAGAAAGAAAGAAAGGAAAGAAAGAAAGAAAGAAAGAAAGAAAGAAAGAAAGAAAGAAAGAAAGAAAGAAAGAAAGAAAGAAAGAAAGAAGGAAGGCTGTTTTAGTGCTGCCTATTAGGCTGAACAAGTTTATAGATGGTAAGATAAGATGATAAGATAAACTTTATTGCCACTTTTTTCAGTGAAATGACACACATTAAAAAATGAAATTCTGAAGCCTGCTTTTAAAAGAATATATACGCCCATACGGGATATAAAGGATTTGAAAGGATTTTTTTCCCTGCCTCCCTTGTCTGGAACAGGACCAAACTTTGTCCCATTGCCGCCGCCCCCTCCAAACTTTTAGTAACTGGCTTACACTTACATCTCTTTCCTCCTGCCCCCCCACCCCCCGCATTCCCTATTGCTGGGGGGGGGGGGAATTGGAAAAGAATGGGAGGAGAAAGAAGATAGACAAGTGTTGTGTGCTTTGCTCTTTCCACCCCCACCCCACCCCACCCAGCCTGCTTCCTTTCAGAGCCTCAACAACAGGATTCTGACGCAGAGAGCAGCCCGTTGTAATTCATACCGAGTTGTAGGCTTTGTGTGATGAAAGCAATGGAGCGCTGCCTGGGAGATTGCTTTGCTGCACTCCACGAAGCAGATTTGAAACTGTCGTGGACCACTTTAGATGAGAGTTGGATTATGGAGTGACCTGCTATGTCTGTGTCATATTGTTCTGCACAGAGAGCATTATACTGTGCTAACTAGGTATTCAGTACCAAATAAGAAAGGTATCCTAGATGTGATTTGTCAGCTGTAGCTTATGGAAGGTTGGTTTTTTTTTTTCCCCCTCCTCCATTAAAATTTAAAAGTGCAATAAGGGAAGATGGTACGCTTTAGATATTGAAGAACAGATTATCTAATAGCAGGTGCTTGAGATTGGAATAAGGTCCATGAGTAATCCTTTAAAACAAATCCAGCTGGATGAAATCATTTCTTTGACTCTCTCTCTCTCTCCCCCTTCCAAGTTAGCACAACACATTAGAAGGGTGGGTGTATCCTTCCTCCTCCTCCTCCTTCATCTTCTCCTTCTTTCTTCTTTCTTCTTCTTCTAGAAAATGAATCACTGGAAACGCTTTTTTTTCTTCTTTTACAGATGATTTGCATGTAATCTGTTGATTTCAACCTGGCAATTCTGGATATAAATGAAGAAATCGAGAGTTGATACACAGATATAGTTGCACTTGTCTTTTTTTTCCCCATCTAATTGCTAATTTTGCCTTTTCCTCCCTCCTAAACCCTCAGGCTTGAAGATGCAGTGGACGCCAGAACATGCCCAGTGGCCAGAGCAGCACTTTGACATCACTTCGACCACCCGCTCTCCTGCCCACAAGGTAGAAGCTTACCGTGGCCATCTTCAGCGCACCTATCAATATGCCTGGGCAAACGATGACATCTCTGCTCTCACAGCCTCAAATCTGCTAAAGAAATATGCAGAAAAGTATTCCGGCATTTTGGAAGGGCCAGCCGAACGTCCCATCCTGGGTAACTATGTGGAGCCTCCATCAGGGCTGGTGAATGGTCGCAAAAGTGAAAGTGAGCCATGGCAGCCTTCTTTGAACTCTGAGAGTGTTTATTCTATGAACTGTGTCCCAGATGTTATTACCGCCAGCAAAGCTGGAGTAAGTACTGCTCTCCCTCCGGCAGATGTCTCTGCCAGTATAGGGAGCTCCCCTGGGGTGGCTAGCAACCTGACAGAACCTAGTTATTCAAGTAGTACATGCGGAAGTCATACAGTCCCTAGTCTGCATTCAGGGCTCCCATCTCAGGAATATGCCACAGGATATAACGGATCGTACCTGCATACAAGTTACAGTGGCCAGCCAGCACCTGCACTTCCTTCACCTCATCCCTCTCCTTTGCATAGCTCTGGGCTTTTACAGCCACCCCCTCCACCACCGCCGCCACCAGCCCTAGTGCCAGGCTACAATGGGACATCTAACCTTTCCAGTTATAGCTACCCGCCAGCAAGTTATCCCCCTCAAAGTGCTGTTGGGGCTGGCTACAGCCCTGGTGGAGCACCGCCTCCTTCAGCCTATCTGCCTTCAGGTATCCCTGCCCCAACTCCTCTGCCCCCTACCACAGTACCTGGTTACACCTACCAGAGTCATGGCTTAACGCCCATCGCGCCGTCAGCCCTGACCAATAGCTCAGCAACTTCTCTCAAGAGGAAAGCTTTCTATATGGCAGGGCAAGGAGAAATGGACTCCAGCTATGGAAATTACAACTATGGCCAACAGAGATCTACACAAAGCCCCATGTACAGGATGCCCGACAACAGCATTTCCAATGCCAGCAGAGGGAATGGCTTTGACCGAAGCGTTGAATCCTCCTCCTTGGCCTTTAAGTCAACCAAACAAATCATGGCTTCCGAGCAGCAAAGGAAATTTAACCAGTCCGGTCGGGCTTTGACGCCCCCTTCCTATAGTTCTGCTAAAAATTCCCTTGGCTCCAGAGCAAGCGAGCCCTTTGGGAAGTATAGCTCTCCTGTCATGAACGAACACGGCGAAGAACATAGGCAGCTTCTTCCCCATCCAATGCAAGGCCCGGGACTTCGTGCAGCTACCTCATCCAATCACTCTGTGGACGAGCAACTTAAGAACACTGATGCACACCTCATGGACCTTGTGACCAATGAGATTATCAGCCAAGGACCACCAGTGGACTGGAATGACATTGCTGGACTAGATTTGGTGAAGGCTGTCATTAAAGAGGAGGTTTTATGGCCAGTATTGAGGTCAGATGCATTTAACGGGCTGACTGCTCTACCTCGGAGCATCCTCTTATTTGGACCTCGGGGCACAGGCAAAACATTACTGGGGAGATGTATAGCTACCCAACTAGGTGCCACATTTTTCAAACTCACAGGTTCTGTTCTTGCCACGAAGTGGTTGGGAGAAGGAGAAAAAATTGTGCACGCTTCCTTCCTGGTGGCAAGGTGCCGACAGCCCTCGGTGATTTTTGTTAGTGACATTGATATGCTCCTTTCATCCCAAGTGAGTGAAGAGCACAGTCCAGTTTGTCGGATGAGAACCGAGTTCCTTATGCAGCTGGACACCGTGCTCACTTCCGCTGAGGACCAAATAGTAGTCATCTGCGCCACCAGTAAACCGGAAGAAATAGACGAATCTCTTCGAAGGTACTTCATGAAACGACTTTTAATCCCACTTCCTGACAGCACAGCCAGGCACCAGATAATAGTACAGCTGCTTTCACAGCACAATTACTGCCTCAGCGATAAGGAGGTTGCACTGCTAGTCCAGCGTACAGAAGGCTATTCTGGACTCGACGTGGGTCATTTGTGTCAGGAAGCTGTTGTGGGCCCTCTCCATGCCATGCCAGCCACAGACCTTTCGGCCCTTATGCCCAGTCAGCTGAGGCCTGTTACGTACCAAGACTTCGACAAGGCTTTTTGCAAAATACAGCCTAGCATCTCTCCAAAGGAGCTCGATACATACGTCGAATGGAACAAAATGTTTGGTTGCAGTCAGTGACAAGCCGTCTCTCTCTTTTTTAAAATAATAATAATAATAATAATAGTGAAACAAAACAAAAAAAAACAAAAAAAATGTAATGAATGTTGGTGCGCGCACACACATATGTACACACAAACCTGTTACCTAGGGCACGCAACCCCTTTTTCAGTCGTGTTGAAATTGTGGAAGGGTACAGGGGTTGGGGGGTGGGGAAAGGATCCCGTTGCATCTAAAATAGCCAGGTTTAGGCTTGAAGAAATAGTGCATCCGAGGAGAGCTGTCGATCTGCAAAGCCACAGATGATGATGATACGATGTTGATGTTCCCTTCCATTCCGTTCAGACTAGACAACACGCTCTCATCATGGAGGGGTTGATTTTTTTTTTTTTTTTTTTAGAAGGACATGAACCCTGTGTGTTGAATCATTCTGCTGTTTTTGAGATTTAGTTGCTTTCAAGTGCCTAAAGTGGTGCTTTATGTTTTTTCCTTTTTTTTCCTTTCTTTTTGTTTGCCTCACAATTACATTGGTGGCATGTGCTAATATAAAGAGCTTTAACTTCAAAATGTTATGGGACTAAAGACATGAACAGTTGTGTTGTGACAGAGAACCAGGTGTGACATTGGTTTAGTTTTGCTTCCCCGCTATTCTAGCTAGTCTAAAAGCAACAGTATTCCTCAATCCTGTCTGTTCTGCGGTATTAAACTAAGAACAGGTAAAACAGGGTAATGGTAATCTGGACTTTAATTTCCACGGTTTGTTTTGTTTATTGTTCTGTCTGCAAAAAAAGAAAAAAAAACGAAAAAAAACTCAGGAAAGTGATTGTGATTTGTACAGTACCTCAAAGGAATGTGTTGAAAGCACTATGTACTGCTGAGATTTAATAGGCTAGGCTTCAATGTTACTTTATCTTAAATATGTATGTTTACCTCAACGGTCGGGAAAAAAAAAACAAGGAGAAATATTTTGAATGTATTAAGGAGCAAGCTGAAGCATGCTAAAACGATAATCTTTAAAATTTTGAAAATACAACAGGAGTATCCCAGTGTTTAAGAAACATTTCTTTCTTTCTTTTTAACCAATATTGGGGATCAAATTGGAGCAAGGTGATTTTCATGGCAGTCATGTGTGGAAGTCCTTAGTCCTTGACAATTTTGTGACAAGTCAGTAGAGAGCGCACAGACAATAAAAGACCCCCCCCCCCCCACACACACACCTTTTGAATCATCTAGGACAGTCAGAGACGAAAACTGGTTAGGATTCTGAGAGGCAAATTACCTTACACCACAAGATACAACTTTTATATCTTAGTTAGGGTTATAGGCATCTTGATTGTCCAAGTGCATCACTAGCACAGAACCCTTGTAGGTCACAGAGAGCTTAGGGGCTGCAGAGCTGTTTACAGCAATGCAGCAGAGAGCGACCAAACAAAACAAAACAGAAACAAGACAAAATTGAACCCTCAAATGGCATCTCTCTTCCTCTTTGCTTTGCATTTTCACCACCAAATGAAAAGTTATCCCTTTGTTTTATGTGTGCTGTTGTTGCCTCTTTCTGTTTTCTTGATGCATTTGTTTGTTTTGTTTTTAATGTGATCATTCCATGGTCATTAGAAATTTGCCCGGCTGGAAAATGGCCACACATTTTATTTCTACCTCAGATTTTGTTTTATTTCTCTTAGAGAGGCACATAAGAAACAGGACAGGCCAGATTATCACTACCGTGCAGAGCTGTTGAAGGTCCTATTAACACATAATCCTAAACAGGCTTCTTTGGAAAGAACTAGTTTTGTGTATGGTGAGAGGTTTTCTCCCAAGTAAGTGTGTGTGTGGAATTGCAGTTTTTCTTTCTTTCAAAAAGAAAAGAGGATTGGGAAGGGAATCCTTCTGCCTCTTCTCCCTTTACCCAACCAGGGCAAATGGTGACTGTTTTCCTTCAGGAAAGAGAAGGTAGATAGGATGTGTGGCATTTTATTCTATTTGTGCCCCTGCTCCACATTGTCTCCCTTTTTTTATTCTTTAATGCTTTTATGAGCAATTCTTTTCATGACAGCTGACTGATGCTGTAATGTCGCCGAACAGTAGAGCAATTCAAACCTTCGCAGCCACGCAAGCAGAGAGCGACCTCTCTCCCTCTCTCTCTCCCCTCTCCCTCCCTTTCTCTTTCCCTCTCTCTGTTTTTTCCCCCATGTAATCTTTTGTTTACTTTAAAGAAACGGCAGCAGAACAATTAGAAGTTATTGGCATTTAATGTTACTTTTAAATAATGTACCTTCAAATCCATGAAATAAATGCACTGAAGAGCTCTAATGAGAAAAAGACCAATTAGTCACCTACTTATTTTGTCTTTAAAGCTACTGCCCAATTATTACACTTGGTGTTTCTTCAGCTAAAATGTTAATTTTCATTGCTAAAAACTGAGCAAATAAACCAAAATGCACATTCTAGAAGTCCTTTTGTTCATTCTAAACTTATGGGTTGCTTCTAAAAGGCAGAGGAGTTCATTAAAAAGTTAAAACAGTGCCTTTCACTAAGGATATAGTAAAATAAGTCTTAATAAATGCTTTGCATTTTCAATTAGCAAAGGTCTTTCTTTTTCTGTTTTTTTCCTCTCCCATCTATTTCTTCCGCTGTATCTTTTCCATTTGGGAAGAACCACAATCTCCTTCCCCAGATTCATATTGATCTTGCAGATGGCTTTCTGATACATATTGCTGACCAATCTTCTGACTTTTAGATATCACATTACGCTGTTGTGTTGCCATCCATTTGAAATATTCAAACATGCTTTGAAAAACTAAATTTACAATTGCATCACCTCTGTCATATACATCCTTTAACACTAACGTGATCTAATTTTAAGGTGACACCAAATAGATTCAGTTCAGGTATATAGCAACAGAATAATCCCAGTAGCACTTCAGTTTAAGTTGGCTTTGGGATCGGGAGGTGCTCAGTTTCTCACATTTTACACTGTGTATGTGAGGAAAAAGCAAATTATTCTTCCAATGAGCTTCATAAATAAAAGACTTAACTGTGAGGTTAAGAAACTTCAAAGAGTTCATCCTCTTCCAAATCCTTTGAATCTTATATTGTGGATTCACTGCTGAAAATATCAGGCCATTTTCTCCCAAATGGTAATTAGCTACAACTAGTGAGGTGTAATGTTTTACCTGACATGAAAATAATAGTTTGGTTTACTGTACTGCCCTTATAAAAAATCGAGGCAAGCTATATCTCACTCTCGGCTCTCTGCCAATGGAGATTCCCTGTTAAATAGAACAGTCAGACTTTGTCTGGTTTATTCAGAACCCATTACTTCAACCCATAGTTACAAATACTATCCTTTTTTTTAGCCATTTTTTTTGCACTTTTTAGGCAAATAAGGCCATTTGCTTCTTCTGCTGCTACATTTAGACCTGTATGGAATTGAAACCATTCACATTTCATTGCAATCAAAACACCTTCTAAGAATTTCCTTTCTTTTATTTGGGTGTTCCATACATGAGAAGACTAGCTTTTGATAGGGAGTTTGATATGGCCAAAATATACTAGCATTCTGAAGATGTAAAACGGTTCTGCCGTGTTTTCATTTGATTGGGACTTAGGATTCTGCCTGAGCAGAGCATAAGACAATGAGGTTGCATGGCCAGGTTCCACACGAGGCAGATCTCCTACATCTTTAATAAAAGGGAGACCATTAATTGTTGTGCCTCATCTTTATGATAGCTAAAATTCCATCAGCTCAATTCTCCTTTCGCTGCAAAACGTAATCATTCAAGGCATACAACTTGGCTTCATCATTTGTTGGAAAATTCTAGGAATAATTGAAGATAAATGTATATCAGATGCTTCCTTTTCTACTTGAGAAAATTTTTCATTAGGTGAGACTTCATTGTCTCTCTGTCTCTCTCCTCCCCACTTCTCCCAGTTTTCTTCTCTGGTGACAAGAACAATTGTAATAACAGAAGAAAAAGCAGGGGATTAGTTTCTGTCAACCAAATTATATCACTGCCAACTGAAATAATGGCACGATAACTTTTTCTATATATTTATAAAGAAATCCTCACTTCTAGCATGCTTCTCTCCAAAATATTTAGGCCATTAAGGATAGTAGTGAAAAGTTTGCTGACTGAGCTAATCAATGGAATGTGAAGGCAGTTTGGGGCTATTTACTTTTTTTTTTTTTTTTACAAAATATTTCTGTATTAGTCAATTTGTATTCTATTCAAATGTAGATAGATGGGCAAAATGGTTTTCCTTGTGCATTTCAAACCCATCAAGGAGGAAATAAAACCTCCCAGTAAAACACATAGGCAAAGCACCATCTGGGAAAGCTAGCTCATCTGTCCAGGGGCTATGCTCTGCAAAATAGTACAAGGTCATTTTATATGGGTTAGCATAATACTTTGCTAGGCAATTTTCAAAAGGAGATAATCTAGTGTAAAAACCCCAATTAATTCCAACAGATGTTGGTAGATGGTAATGTGTTTACATGTCAAAAGCTGCAAATAAAGGTTTCTACTGCCTGAAAATGTGTGCAACTTTGAGTAGAGGAACAGTTATAAGTTCCATAATATGTTTCATTCTAATTTAAAAATATAAATCATCATTTAGAAAGTGAAACCTCAGAAATACATGCAAGAATTGAGCAAATTTTGCAGAAACGGATCTGTGCAAGGCTATTTTGTTTCGGTGGAACTATCCCTGTCTACCTAACCTCTTAAAGGTTTAAGCTTTCTTCCTTAGGCAGATCATGCGCACAAGTTCCATTGATATGATTGCCTAAGAGTCCCTTATCTATGGAGATTCTCAGTCAACCAGATCATGGTTATCTCAAAGGTTCATTTTTCAAAAGGCAACTGGACTGTCTTTGTTTTTCCTTGAAGGCGTTTCGCTTCTCATCCAAGAAGCTTCCTCAGTTCTGGCAGGATAGTGAGGGGGATGGAAGGATCCCTCCATTCCTCTCCTGTCACCATCCTGCCAGAACTGAGGAAGCTTCTTGGATGAGAAGCGAAACGTCTTCCAGGAAAAACGAAGTCCAGTTGCCCTTTGAAAAAGCACCTCTGAGACTAAGAGTCTCTTGTGCATCTCCCATTCATTTCACCCAAAATTCCAAGGATATAATTGGGGATAGATGGCCATAAAGATCAACAACACCCTTTCATCTTGTGATGCATGTGTTTGTATAATCTTTATGTGGACACGCACACATAATATGAAGCCATTTTCGTTCTCTCTTTCAAGGAAAAGATGAGAGCTTTCTTTTCCTTAAATCATTTGCAGATTTATACTCGAAGCACATTGGTAAACATGGAGAGCTAGTAATATTCCTAGACCCAAAGAAGCTGCTGCCCTGGGGACTAGTCAGTCCACGAACTGACCCTTCCCCTTTGCAAAGATCTTTGGTTGACATTCGATTTTGAACTTGCCAGATACGTTTTTTTTGTGAACCAGGGATACTGCATCTTTAATGAACAAGCTTCTATTCTTCCCCCTATTTTTAAAGGCAACACAAGAAGTGTAGCACCAGGCACCGCCATTGTCAAAGACAATTAGACTGAAAGCAGAAAAATTTCACCTCCCTGTCTCAATGATACATAAAATGTCGGCAGTGTGGGTCAGCCTTGCAGCTGAATTTTGTGAGAGTATATGAATCAGTCCTATAGAATGTTAAATATTTATAAAATGGTTCTGTTCTCCACTAAGGTTAGGAATGTAGTCATTCCTTATTGTCTCACGATACACAAAGAGGAGGAGATATTATTTCCCAACCAAAACTTTGCTTGCATACATCTTTCCTCACCCCAAATGGTTCTTGTGGTTTACATGCAGTCCCAAGTAGTTTTGTCTTCATAGATTCCCACCACCACATTTGGGTGTGTGTGTGTGTTCAGACATTGTTCTTTGAAACCATTTCTACCTCATTACTACATATTGTACATGTAGTATTTATTTGTTGTCTTTTTTTGAATGTCATGCATTTTGTAAGAAAGACGTGTCCTTGAACTTGAACAGTCTACCTCAGAAAGACTGTCACTACACTGAATAGTATTAACTCACCAGGACGATAAGATGCATTAGCAGAGTGTGGCAGGGCAGATAATACATGGGGACTTGGCATACTGATGGACTTTTAATTGTACTCTTGTAACACAAGATTGCTTAAGGGAACTTAAAGGAAATCATGCACTGTGCAAATCTTGATCAGTGTCCCATTTGGGGGCTTGCTCTAGGAATATCCCTCTTTAGTAGGATGTATCCTAACTCGGGAGAAAGAAAACATAGTTAGACTCAAGAATTATTATTATTATTTGCATTGGCAATCCGGCTACAATCTATTACTGTTAATTGACATGCGGTCCAACTTGGCTCTTAAAACTCAAAACAAATGATAGTACTTAAGGATTATTTTTTATCTTCGGCGATGTAAAAAGAAATGTGTCACACGCTGTTAAGACTGTAAGTTTCTCACTTCCTGTGTACTAAAATGAAACACAATGCATTTTGTAAGAGTCTGTGCAAGGTTTAAACATAAACCAAAAATGAAAAAAAGAGGCACTTCCCAAAGGACTTTTAAATATGGGCTTCAATCCTGCACACAATTGGGCATGTCTGAAGATCATTACCATTTACTGACATGCGCAACCATGTGCACAGGACTGGATCCATAGAGTGAAGGTGCTCATGTGTTCTGTAATCAAATAGTTTTATTGTTGATTCTGCTTTATAAACATGTTTGTTTTTTGGAAGTAATTGTACACAGATGGCACATTTGAAGTACTTTGTATGAAGTATTTTATATTTTATTATTTATTTTTGCATCATTTTCCCCCTCCCCTTTGTCTCCACTAACTTTGCATTACAATACTGTAGGAGAAGAATACATTTCTCTCTCTGTCTCTCTCTCTCTCTCTCTCTCTCTATCATTTTTGTTTTGCTTTTCCTTTTGTAAGAAAGTACTGAATGGATAAAATATCCCAAATCAATGCATGGACTTTTTTAGTTGCTTGTCAGCAAATTGTGGATTTTTTTACAAAAAGAAAATGAACTATGACAATCCACAACATTCACAGATGTTAATGCAGAAATGCATTTTATTATTATTATTTTTTGGTATGCCTGACAATCTGTTCTTTAAGTTCCATTAATAAAGTAGCCTCAGATCTTTTATTTTGCAGTTCCTTGAAGAAATACCATTGCCTGGTGGAATGATTAAGAGGTAGGGGGAATTATTTCTGTTGGTTTTCTGCGTGGGATGCCATATTTCTCATCAAATAATACTCCTTGTCTGGGACAGTCCCCCTCCCCTTTCGGTTAAAGCCCAACTAAATTAAAATTTTGGTGCACTTTGCTTT